CATGATCTCCATTGGTAAATCGTACAGGTAGTGCTGAATCTCTTTGCATATGAAGGCTTTCCGAATAAAAACATGATCTCATCAGTTGACCAAAACACTAATTTCGGACCACAAACGGACCGACAGAGATTAAGTTTCTCCGTAGCCTGAGAGCACCAATTCCATGCACTCTAACCGAAACAAATGGGGACTTTATCCTTAGATTTCACATGTTGGTCGTCCCTTTCTGAATCGTCCACGCTCAGCCTCTGAAAAAACATTCTTTTAAATGGATTAAAATTCTCGACAAATACACTTATTTGGTGCCAATTTGATTTTCACCGGAGACTCTCCTGGATCCCGGCAGAATCTCTCATTTATGATGTCCTCCGTTGCAAGTTGGGTTCAAGTGGAGCGTAAGGCTGATGAAAACGAAGACTGCTTCTACACGATAAGTCCAGAAAAAAATAGGGCCGGTCAGTTCTCAGAAAACTTATGAGTAGTTTTCTTTATGAGGACTAATCTCCTGTTTCCTTAGGGTTCGCTATAGGAAATGCATGCCATCCGATACTCACTCTCGAACATTCATACTATCTTACAAGTTAATTTGGAGATCATAATGATATGGACAACTGATCTTGAGTTTTCAGGTCAAGCCTTTTGACTCCGAAGCTTCTATCAATCCTCTGCTGGTTGCCCGCTCTTAGTTTCGATGGCTCACTCTAAGTTTGTGAGTTGTTCTGGGAATAATTGCTTAAGTCTAGTAGGCCGGCAACTGTCCAAANATGATGATGATGATGATGTCTAGATATGCAGTTTCTGATTCAGTCGTCCCTTTCTGAATCGTCCACGCTCAGCCTCTGAAAAAACATTCTTTTAAATGGATTAAAATTCTCGACAAATACACTTATTTGGTACCAATTTGATTTTCACCGGAGACTCTCCTGGATCCCGGCAGAATCTCTCATTTATGATGTCCTCCGTTGCAAGTTGGGTTCAAGTGGAGCGTAAGGCTGATGAAAACGAAGACTGCTTCTACACGATAAGTCCAGAAAAAAATAGGGCCGGTCAGTTCTCAGAAAACTTATGAGTAGTTTTCTTTATGAGGACTAATCTCCTGTTTCCTTAGGGTTCGCTATAGGAAATGCATGCCATCCGATACTCACTCTCGAACATTCATACTATCTTACAAGTTAATTTGGAGATCATAATGATATGGACAACTGATCTTGAGTTTTCAGGTCAAGCCTTTTGACTCCGAAGCTTCTATCAATCCTCTGCTGGTTGCCCGCTCTTAGTTTCGATGGCTCACTCTAAGTTTGTGAGTTGTTCTGGGAATAATTGCTTAAGTCTAGTAGGCCGGCAACTGTCCAAAAGTAACTTATCGGGCCTTTCGCAGCACCACATTTCCAGGGTAGATTCCCAACGGTTTCAAAACTCTTCCGCTCTTGCAGCCAAAAAATTTTCTTATTTACCAAGTGTACATATTAATTACTTCGTTGTATAGTTGGAGATTACGTGGTTGCTTCTTTCCCATTGTCATTCAGTCGGTGACAGAGTTCCTGCGGATATTCGGATTACCACTATTATGAGCACTACCCTCAGAGTGGACCAGTCAATCCTGACCGGCGAATCCGTTTCCGTCCTGAAACACTCCGACCCTATTTCCAGTAGCCGGGCGGTTAATCAAGACAAGAAGAACATGCTTTTCAGTGGCACCAATGTGGCATCGGGGCGATGTCGAGGCGTTGTGGTCGGAACTGGAATGAATACCGAAATAGGGAAGATTCGCGATCAAATCATGCATTCGGAAACAGAGAGGACTCCTCTAGGTCAAAAGATTGATGAGTTCGGCACACAGTTGTCAAAAGTAAGTCGACCCCGAAGTTACAGGATGGTTTCTTACCACGCTTCCTGTTAACTAGGTTCAGGCCTGGAAGGGTTCACTTCCTCTATCCAAACACCCGGAAATTAATACCCCCGGATTTTCATTGCTCGTCGTTGATCCCCGAAAGATTTTATATGAGCATAGTGGTTTTTATTGTTTTTTTTACTGCCGCCATCATATAGGCTCATAATGTTCCCCACTGAAACCACTAATGCATGCGCGGTCTCATCTAAAAGGATTACTGGGTGATTTTGCCTATTCACAACCTCTTTTGGTCGAGAGAGTTCATCAAAAGAATGCAGCATCTACCTGTGTCATCTAAAAACGTGATGCGATGCAATACATGGACAAGGAAGAGCTGTTAAAAGGCAGCTTTTGGGTCGACGGTGATTAATCTCCCGTTAGTGCCACCCTACAGAGCACAATGAAACAGACCGTAAAAAGCGAGGCAAATCAGGGCCACTTCTTTCTTAACCTACGCGACGAAATCTCCCTGTAACTGCCTGTTGTGATTACCACTAAGCGGTGAAAACGGTTAACTAATGAGACAAGTGGCTGGTCTTGCTGCATCCACTTGATAAGTCTTAGTCATGACAAGACTCGTCAAGAAGATATGATGAACGGCTAGTTCCACAGTATGCATCCCGATGGGTTATGGTGGGGTTTTTGCGTGATAATCCCATTGTGTAGGGATAGTTGATGTGGTATGGTGGCTTTGAAGGTATTATGGTAGCGGTATGGGTGCGCTGTTTTTGTGAGATTTCCGAGTTTATATTCCGCTGGGATTAAGATAAGGTGTTTTTAGTGAGCAGTGGTAAAGCTGGCAGGTTGGGAAGGATGCCTGTCGTTTCTCTCAGAGCCTGTTGGGCCTCCCTCCCTGCCTGACCTTCCTGAAATGGTTCGTATGTCTGCACAGGACTGTCAGTTTCGCTCTGAACCATGTGCCGAGTGACAGATTTGAACGCTTTCCATCTTCGCGAGTAAATGAGGTGCAGGGCTCCTCAGGGTAGCGTAACTTCAGTTTATTTCGCTTGTAGATCTGTTGCATCGTCTGTACACCTGGCACACAAACCTTCGACTGTAACACCCAGCGTCTTGGGATAGGCCTAATTCCCGATGCCGTTTCAGTATATCTGCATAATTTTCAAAAGCAAAACGTCCGACATCTGTCTTAATTTCTCTCATGTGTTTTCTAATGTTTCCACGACAAGGGTAAACTGACCTATCTGGATCGTAAGTCTTCCGCTCGCTGTTCCTGTAGGCAGTGACCATGATCAACATCTCTATTTTGGATTCATTACTCTACATTTTCAGCTCCAGGATCGCATCAGTGCTTTGAAGGGTTAAGTTCTCTTTGTTTTCCGTCTAGTTCTGGACGTTAACAAATACACGCTGTTTGACCTCCAAGTCTGCCAGCTGAATCGCCCGTGTTGTCGTAATGGCGGAGACAGTCTAGTGCCGGTATCCCTGCAGAATTTGTCATTCATTGGTACGGTGAACGTCCTGGTATTTCCGTTGGAATTCTGCAGCTATTCGTATCTGCTCTCAGGTACTCAACCATACTCGTACAAGGATTCACTCTCACCGTAATTCCTTTGTTGCCTTCTCTTTTGACGATTGAGAAAGCACCTTCAGGCTGGAGTACGCATAGGACATGGAGGCTACGAAGACCCGTGAGGATAATCTTCGTACCATGTAAAAATAGACCCAGTGAGAGTGAACTTGATGGAGACAATAGCGACACAACCGTGGTACCCTTTGAGTGCATAGCTCCCGTACAACTTAAAGAAAGCATGAGGACTGAGATACTACTACCAAGTTACACAAGCCTGGCATTCGAAAATCCAGAGTTCGGTTCGAGCCATGGACCCATCGCTCGGTAGTCTCGTGTCTTAACTGCCGAATTATCCCGTGGCTGGATGTCGACTGCAAAGATATCACTGGCATTTTACCACATCTACTGAAACTTTCAACACGAATTAGTTCCAACTGCTCCAGCGAGCTCGAGATAGCTCAGCGGTTAAGGCGCGTACTTACGGACCAGTTGGTCCTTAGTTCGGACCCGACCTCAGTATCTCGATTACATTTCTCTTGGTTTGGGCAGTCTGACAATATCTCACCTCTGGCTCTTCGAGTGGCATGGCAGCTAGGCACCCAAAGGGTGTTACACCTGAATGACTCCAGCGTAATTCTTAGTTTCACTTGGTGACAACTACATCCCCTTGGTTGCATTTTTTCCTAACTCTGAAGGTGATCACCCTCATCTGCATTGCCGTATGGTGTATCAATATTGGCCACTTCAACGATCCCGTTCATGGTGGATCCTGGCTGCGTGGTGCCATCTACTATTTCAAAATTGCCGTCGCCCTTGCTGTAGCCGCTATCCCAGAAGGTCTACCAGCCGTCATCACGACTTGCTTGGCTCTGGGCACACGTCGCATGGCCCGTAAAAACGCCATTGTCCGCTCGCTACCCAGTGTTGAAACTTTGGGCTGCACGACAGTGATTTGTTCAGACAAGACGGGGACTCTAACAACAAATCAAATGACTGTGGTCCGCATGTTCACTTTTGCGAATGGAGCACCTGGTGGTGCACAAAGTGGTGATGGGCGACCACTGGCTTTCGATGAATTTGAGATTACCGGCTCCAAATACGCCCCCGAGGGGAGCATGTAAGTCATCTTTGTGATCTTCCAGCTTCAGTCCTGTTTTTTCTGGATTATTGTCTAAAGGTATGATCACATTGGAGTGCCCTTAGTCAGACCCCACTCTTCCTTCGTCGTGTTGTTCTCCACACGGATTGGACTTCCAGTCCAGTTCTAATTGCTCTCGCCACTTTCGAACTATCTGTCCTCGTTTTCTGCATGATTCTACATCAATAGTATCTCACTGAAGTTAGCCAATTTTGTCTTGACCAACTTATTCTAATAGATTTAGGAGTTTATTGGACGGCTTTCTAATCCGTTATATTCTCCCGAATTAAAAATGCTGTTTACCTTTAATTTTAACTGCAGACGATAAGGTAGTAAAGTACTCGTATGCGCGCTTCCTGATCTGTTCATCAGGCTTCGCAATCAAATTGCAAACGTTTCGTCACTGATCGAGGTATCACCAGTGGACGGTTGGCTACGTACTGCCTCCTGTTCTGCTTGCGTCGATGTACTTTCTGAAAAGTATCTAATAGCTCTGCTGTTATTGGTTGATTTTCCACTGAGATCTGAATCTGGCCGATCAGGTAAGGCGAAAGCTATCATGCAGCCAACCAATCACGCTGAGGTTATTACGTACTGTTTGGGAGTCGTTTAAATACGGGAAGAAGGGGAGGAATACGCCCTCAACCGCGCAATAACGTTATCACGTTGGTGATGAAACGTATTCAGTCCAGTTGCCTAGTTTAACGAACGGACCAACAACCGAGCAACGCATTCGGACTACCCACATTTCACTGCACCACTCGGGCGAGGCTTGAAACACCATGCAAAATAAGCTTACTTTATGTTTATTTCCTTCATGCGAAAAGTATCAGATATGCTTAGTACTGCTTGATAGAGTAGAAACCTGCATTGACGGACGTTAGTTCATCGTTCGCTGGTTCATCACAAGCGTAGGCAAAAAATTGCTTGAAACTCTTGCCATGGCACCTACAAATTCTCTCTTTGGGGCTCTTTCCCACCACCCCACAGCATTCGGAAAGGTCAAAAGGTCAACTGTTCAGAGCATCCATGCTTGGTCGAGTTGGCTCACATTTGTGCACTGTGTAATGATTCCGGAGTTGAATATAATGAAAGTAAAGGACATTATGAAAAAGTTGGCGAAGCGACGGAGACTGCTCTGATTTGCTTGGTGGAGAAGATGAATGTTTCTGGGGTGTGCAAGACTGGACTTACCAATCGGCAGCTCGCAATGGCCTGTAGTCATGATCTGCAGGTAATTTCGGTTTCCCACATCTTCATCGTTGTCTTTTGCAACTCCCAGCCTAACCCATTTTAATCCCACTTCCTTACAGCACATGTACCACAAAGAATTCACCTTGGAATTCTCACGTGATCGCAAGTCCATGTCCACATTCGTGACACCTAAATCTCGGGGGGATGGAAGGCATGGGAAGCTGTTTGTAAAGGTAAGGATGCGCCTGATGTGTGCTAGTTTAGAACTTTCGTTCGACCGTTTACGTCTATCTTCTTGGGGACGCGCGGCGTCTCGATTCCCTAAGCGTGCAGTCGTCATCGTTTTGCGCTGCTGGGCCCACCGTTGAAACTCGGTAACGTGATGTTGCGTTGCTTGCGATGTTTATGGGAAACCCGAACTCCAAGGATGAGAGTACCGACTGTGATAGACAGCTTCTATGCACTGTAATCTCACTTTGTGTTCGAAATTCTAATATTCAAGTCATAATTTCTAAGAGATAGTGTATATTCTTACCCTGAAGGTCCTCAGAGGTGAATAATGGAGACCGGGTGGTTTCCACCGCACCGAGTGCATAAGTTCTTTTAAATACGAACTTTCACTGTTCGTTTTTGCAGATAAGTTTTTCTCCCTGGTTGAGTGCTACCGCCTCCCTACCGCTATAAAAAGGGTGCTAGCGTGAAGTTGGAATGGAGATTGTGGCAAGGTGCGATGTAGATGTGCTTACCGTCGTGATTATTTTGACCAATCGACGCGATTGTCTCGTCATATCCGCAAAATTCAGGCAACCGTCATTGCATTGTGATGCATCGCACTAAAATCCACTTCGCTGAATGTAAGTCTGGGTTTTGGGTTTTCAGTGTACGCAAACCCATCCAGATGTCTTAGGCCCGTCCTTTGCCAACGAGTTCGCGCCTTTAGCGAAATACGCTCTTTTGCGCATGTGGTCTTGCCCTTCCTCGCAACCAGCATTCCTTTGTTGTGTAAGCTTGATTATGTAGTTTGTTCACCCGGGGTAGATCTTGACTAGACATTTGCGAAACAATTAATTGCTAAAAATTAGTCAGCTAAGTCCTAATTGAGATTAGCGGTTACGTAATTGAGTGTGGAACGGATTCTCAAGTTGTATAATGGATCAGGCGTTTGCTTATTACATTCCCAAAGCTATCTCAAAGAGGCTTTAATTAGATCAGCCTCAAAGGTAACAAAATACTAAGTGAATCTAGGTGCTATGGGAGGAGAATGGATATCAATACGTCTATATCCAGTAAAGTGTGGTTGAACTAGTTTTGATTGACAGAATTGAATCGGGCGACCTTTCGGAAAGCACTTGAAAGTGTTTTAGATCTATCAGCCCCCACCCACCTACTATGCTTTATTCGGCCTTTCCTCAGTTTTCGCGGCCCATCGTGCCCACCACCGAATATTACCGTCTTTGGAAGCACAATCTACCTATGAGGTTGTCAAGAAGTGGTCGACAGCTCGCTACCGCTTTCGTCTTGCTTGAGGCTCATTAGGTTGGTGCAATCCTCGGTTTGTCCGTTTGGGTTCTTTGCCTAAATCTTCATTCATATCATCATTGATTTCGGTCCGAAGACAGGATTTCGGGCACAGTACTACGTCTAAAGACTTCTCATTTTACACCTTGCCGTCTATTTGAGCATCCATCAGGGGTGCCCACCTCATTCCTATCTAATTTTGTGATCAATGAGCTAATGAAATGAACGCTGGAAGGTCTTCAAAACCGCGGTGTCCAAATAGCCTCTGACGAAAACCTTGTTGATCTGGAATGTGCACGCAACGTCGTGGAGAAGGCGTAGGTGTCTTTGGGTGAACTGACCAAAGTCATCCCGTCCTTCGGTACGCATTTTGAACCCACAAAGATATGTAGCCACTGAACACGCCATATACAAACCAAGGAGAGGCATCGTGTCTTGAGAGTCGTATTAGTTCCGATTGTAGTGTGACCGATGACGCAAATGCCCGATTCAGAGGGGCAGAAGCAGGTAGGTGGCCAACATCTGACCTGGCAGAGGAGTATAAAAGATATTACGAAACCTGTGGGTGCCGTTGGTGCTCCTTGCCTTCCAGGATGGGGACTGCGTGATCCCCACTGCTCCTGGTTGGAGACGCTGCAAGATGTGGCTGCTGATCGATGTTAATCGCGCTCTTGTTTCCATTTTCTATCCAGGTTGCCTCGGAATGATTGTGGTGGACTCGCACTAAGTCCCTTCCATATCCACCCTTATTATTTTCTTCACAATAAGGATTTCACATAAATCATGGCTGTATGGCAGTGGAGCACCAATGTTAAACACTGACGTCATGTGGATCACCATGAGGTTAACTAATCCTTGGCGTTTCCCATATTTGCTAATTTTTAAAATAAAATGGAACAGGTCAATATCGCTCGCCGCAACGATCACTGAACAGTGTCCGAGGAATAGCTGACATTCCATTGATTTCTAATGCACCTGCCTAATACGGAGCACTATGCTCCACTCGGACCCCGCTTGTGCATATCGTAATTGCACTGTAGTTTGTTTCATCGCTTGGCGTTCCTTTGTTGTACCGTCTAAAGCTGCGGTGTCCAGACAACCATATCAATTGTGTAGTGAAATTAGTCCACAGCATAAATGAGATATGCGAAACTATTTAGTCCCACAAAGACTAGGTCGTAATGCTTCTCTCCTTTACTTGTACCGAATAAGTCCCTATTCTTGGTCTACCAATCGGCACATTGCCCCTTTCTATTATTGAGGGCCCAAAAGCGGTACCCAGGCCTCTGTGTTTCCTTCAGCCAAGATGCTTAGCGTCGTAGAGAATTTCGCTGATTCGGCCAACTTGGAACAATCCTTGTTAGGATCTACTGCACTGTTGTCTATGGCCTAACTGATGCGTACTTTTGCAGTGCAACAGATCAGAAACTATTATCCAATGTCTGACTTATGCTGTTTTTCTTCTTTTAGGGTGCACCCGAATCGATACTTGACCGTTGCACGCAAGTCCGCACTCCAAATGGTCGTGTACTACTCACACCCGAATTGAAGGATGAAATATTGCGAAAGCTAGCAACGTATGCCACAGGTCGAGAGACCCTTCGATGTTTGGCCTTGGCTAGTAGGGATGATCCACCTGAATTGTCACAATTCAACCTCACTGATCCCACAAACTTCAAGGAGTATGAGGTTTGTTCCATTGAAGTGTAATCTCACCATGCACGCTGCTGTACATAGGGAGTTTATATATATATATATATATATATATATATATATATATATCCCCAACCTTGCGAATTAACGCTGGTCGTGAGTGTTCAGAGCAAGGGTTTTGTACTCTAA